TTTCTTCAGAAGCACTTTGTCGAAAGTATTTAAGTGCTTGAATAAAATTACTAAAACTCTATGAATGAAGCAATCCAGGAGATGTAGTCACCCAACACAAATATACTTCTATTGACAAGACCCTGAAGTGACTTTAGTATTATTTTCCTTTGAACAATAACAAATACGTTACTTTGTCACTGAGGAGATCATTTCAAAATCAAAGGCAAGTTATTTTGCCCAAATGCAGCGTGGCTTCCTTTTTAAAAACAAATTATATACACAACAGCATAAAGTTTACAGTGAGATTTATTGTACATGAACAATATTCTGTATTCACACTAAATGTAATAAAAATGGTGTTTGTTCTTGACAAGAAACACAACATCCTTCCAGCAGTGATGAATTGGTGAATGGTCACAAAGGCAGTCAATGAGAAAGGTCAGCAATTATTTGTGTTGATGGGTGTGTGAACAAGCTGAAGAGGCTTGTTAACAGTGCACTTTGCCGATAACACAATCGTGGAGCATGGATTTGAATTGTGGAAATGGAAGAACATTGGAGCAGAGAAATTCATTTCCCTGCAATGGCTTCTTGGGCTCTTGTGGAAGAAAAGTAGCACATCTGGAGGACCTACCAGTTTTTGAGGCAATGAGCCCCAATAATGCATGAACAAAAGAGGACATGGGACCCTATCACTTGGAGTGCCAATTCCCTGTGCAATACCAGAAGAACATGAAGGAGGTATGGGACATGTCATATGGCCTGAAAAGAAGAGCTGAGATAACATTAAGTTTCAGGGAGGCATAGACTTCATATCCAAGGTTTATGTTTCGCCACAAAGTATACAACAGCAACAACAACAACAAATTACATTTGCATAGCCATCAATTCACTTTAGAGTATATTCTGTGAAGCACTTTGAGACGTCTCAACAACATGGTGAAGCACTACATCAAATGCAAGGATTATTATTATTTACTATTATATGTTGAAAGTAATATATTTACCCTTCAAGTACAGATTTTACTTAGTTAAGATGAGAATCTGGATAGATCAAAGTTATAATTCCTTAGAGCAGAGGAGGTTAAAGGATGATTTGTTTGAGGTATTTAAAATAATGAAAGAAATTAACAAGTTGAATGATGGAGACTTAAAATAATATCATCCTTGCATTTGATATAGCGCCTTATCACTATCTCCCTATATATCACTATATAGACGTCATCGAGACATCTCAAAGTGCTTCACAGGTTATACTAAAGGGGATTGACTGTGTATTTTGGGGGTGAAACACAACTCTTCCCTCTTGTAGAAGGTACGTTACAAAGAGGCTTAGCCTTATGTTCAGAATTAAGACAGTTAAACTGAGGTGAGGAAGCATTTCTTCATACCAAAGGCTGTGAACATGTGTAATGTTCTGACTCATGTATAAATCCCTTCATGCCCTAGCACCTACCTACTTGACGGACCTGCTCACACTCAACTGCTCTGCCCACCCCTTCATTCAACTACCCAGGCCTGCTGTACGTTCACCAATCCCTCTCCACCACACTCAGTGACCTTGCCCTCAGCTACTATGCCTCTAACCTCTGGAACTTCCTGCCTTAATCCCTGCGCTTCGCCCCCTCTTTATCTTTATCTACTATACAGCACTCTGAGACGCTATTCTACTTCAACAACAAGATTACATTTGTATAGCGCCTTTCATGTCGGGAGGACGTCCCAAGGCGCTGGACAGTGTGCAGCCTTTCAGACCTGAGCTGCGGTCGGGGAGGGGAAAGGGAGGGGGGGGGGGAAGGTGGGTGACCAATGGCATGGTGGAAGAGGAGGGTTTTGAGGCGGGACTTGAAGGAGGCTAAGGAGGGGGCAACGCGGAATGATTGGGGAATGGAATTCCACAGGTTGGTGGCAGAGTGGCTGAAGGCTTCCCCACCAATGGTGGGTCGGGTGGGTCGGGAGACGTGGAGCAGGCTGGAGCCAGCGAAGGGAGTGGACGGGTTGATAGGGGGTTAGGAGGTCGCAAAGTTAGTGTGGGGTGAGGCCATGGAGGGCTTTGTAGGTGAGGACCAGAAACTTGAACTAGAACCTCTGAACGATAGGGAGCCAATGGAGTTGGGCGAGAATGGGGGAGATGGGGTCACGGAGTTTGGTGCGGGAGAGTTCTGGATTATCTGTAGCCTGTGGAGGGAGGAGTTGGGAAGGCCGACAAGCAGGGAGTTTGCATAGTCGAGCTTGGATGTGATGAAGGCATGGACAAGAGTTTCAGTGGCCTGAGGGGTGAGGTCGTGGCGGAGTCGGGCGATGTTATGGAAGTGAGGGAAGGCAGAGCGTGTCATGGCTTGGATGTGGGAAAGAAAAGACAGTTAAGGGTCGAGCAAGACACCTAGGTTCCTGACTGGCTTGGTGAGTTGCAGTGAGCAACCATGGAGGTTGATGCTGCCAGAGCCTGAGGTGCTGAGGCGCTGGCGCGAGGCAATCAGGAGAGCCTCAGTCTTGTTCACATTCAACTGTAGGAAATTTGCCCTCATCCAGGACTTGATGTCCAGACGTGACAGTGCGGGGACTGGAGGAGAAACCGTTAGAGGAAACAAAGTGGAGACGGTGAGAGAGATAGGAATCGAACCAGGCAAGGGTAGATCCGTGAAGATTAAGTAAAGCGGTGTATGAGGATGGAGTGGTCGACAGTGTCGAAGGCGGCAGACAGGTCGAGGAGGACAAGGAGGCAGAGGGAGCTCTGATCACAGATGTTCAGAATGTCATTAGTGGCTTTGACCAGGGCTGTTTCCGGGCTGTGGGTAACGTGGAAGCCGGATTGGAGGGGTTCAAAGAGGGAATAGCGAGAGAGAAAGAAGCGGAGCTGGGACGCGATGGCTCGTTCCAGGACCTTGGAGAGGAATGGGAAGTTAGAGATGGGGCGGTAGCTGGAGAGGAGGGATGGATCCAGGGAAGGTTTTTTCAAGATGGGGGTGAAGACGGCTGTTTTTAGGGGGGTGGGAACTGAACCGGTGGACAAGGAGAGGTTGATGACATCGGACAGGAGAGGGTTGAGCTGGGAGATGAGGAGAGAGGTGGAGATGGGATCGAGGGAGCAGGTGGTGGGTTTGAGTTTGTGAACGATGGCGGTGAGGGAGGAGGGAGAGATATAAAGGCCGCTATATAAAGGCCAGAAGTTGTTTTTTGAAGAGAGTGATGGATGAACTGAAATGACAGTATTTTGTGATGGCTACTTTATGCCTGTTTAGATAATCCCTAGCCCCAGAACAGCCTACTGACCAGTGCCACTTGAGCTTCTTCCTCAAACAAACTCGGTGGTTAAAGCAGATAGTACATATGCATTTAAGAGGTAGCTAAGTATACACATCAGGGAGAAAGGAACAGAATGGTATGGGAGTGAGTGAGGAGTAGGTGTAGACTCACATGGAGTAAAACACCAGCACCAACACTAGTCGGACTGAATGTCTTTTTTGATGCTGTATAATCTATGTAAATATAAATTCTATCTCTTCTGCATCCTCATTCAGAGTCCTCTATTGCCCCAGAGTCAGAATCAAATGCCTTATAGAGGACCTCTGTGTGTATTCTTTCATTCAAAATAGTAGCAAAATATAGAACGTATATTTCACACCAAATCGATAACCTCCAACTACTTCCTGTCATAATACAACACCAAGTAACACTACATAGATCATCACTCTCCACAGCCATTTTAATATCTCACAGAAGCTGGCATTTAATTAAAGAACCTGAAGGAATTTTAGCACCTACAAAATGTTAACCTCAAATCCAGCTAACATGTTTTCCAAGCAATTTCAATGATTAATTAACCAATTTACAGAGCCCCGCTATTAATTTTAGCAATGGCTATTAATAATGAGATAGGGTTCCAGGTGTGCTAATATGGCCAATTTTAATAGTGAAATTCCTCACATTTTAACTCATCTCCAATGGCATTACATTTACTGAAAAACAGAATTTCATCTGCAAATTTCCATTAAGAAAGTCTTGTCGAAACCGGAAAATGGACTTGTCCACTTTCTGCTCTGTTGATATTACAGTAGGATTCCTAAATCAAATTGCCTAGCACTGGTCTGTTCTTATCAACCAATAAAAATACACATCAAGCTCATGTTCAGAAACCCTATACTTTAGCAGAACTTCTTGTATTCCACACACTCTCAGATCAGGATCATCTGTTCTACTTTATTACTAAAGAATAGGTCACATGTTAGTGCTAAATTCTGAGCTGTGTTTTATTTCCTGTTTCTACATGTTCACTGGGGACTAAGACGGCCAATTAAACCTAATTCCAATGCGACCTTTAACAGCTGCCACAGAAACTATTGTCCTAGCCATTTCATTCAATGCTGTTATTTTGTGTGGGCATTCAGAGTATTATTTTTTAATCAAATTCCTGAATAGTGTCAAAGCCTTAACTAAATTCTAAGGATGTATTCTAGTTTAATGAAATTCTAAACAGTGTAAACGTCGTAAATAAACAAACCAGGTATTTATTAGACAGTATTTGCTGTGTGTTCTGATTAGGCTTTCGAAAGAAAAATCTTGCTGAATATTAAGTGTTATGGCCAGTGAGCAACCAGTCCCATGACTAGTAATGTCACAGCTGACACGGAGTGAAATACATTGATGTGTAGGCAAATGCTTTCTGCTGAACTGCACTCATAATTTGATTATAAATTGCACACGAGGGATAGATGATTTATAGGTTGTCAACACCTTACTTGACTTGTGTTATAATTTCCCTTCATTAGGAGTCTTTCATTATTTTGTTTGCTTTTAACAGAATTAATGCATCTTCATGCTCTAAAATCATACATGCATGGAGTGAGCAATGAATTAATCTTTTGACCTTGATAGTGAACATGCAAAATGTGGGTAAAAATGCATGAAGAACTCTGAGTTATTACTGCCATTAGCAGCCAGTGAATGTCAGGCCTTGCAGTAACTGTGCTCTTGGACGTGCGCTGAAACACAATTCTATCTTCCCAAATATTCTACAGGCTATCTTTGACCGGAATAGGAAGGACGAGTTGCCAGGACTTCAGCTGGAGTGGATTGATGGGATCTGCAAGCCATTGTTTGAGGTACCTCAAATAAGTCAAGTATTTATGAACCTTTTTAACTTCCCCTCCCCCAATTTTTACAAAGCAACTTTTAAAGTATTGAATTTGAAAAGCTGTGGCTTAACTATTTGAGACATATTCAAATAGTGTCGCCCAACCAGGGCAACTAATATACATAAATATTTAAACAAAAACACAAAGCCAAGTGGAATGATTCAGTCACTGACTGTAAGGATGTTTCTAATTGTATTTTGAAATCAGGTTTTGAATTGATGCAGCGATGCTGAGCACTGTACATTGATGGCGTTTGGAGATTGCAATTGCAGTCTGACCCTGTTAAATAACGCTCTTCAGGTTCAGATTTCGTATGGCTACACAGTGGCCCCACAACATACTGTGGCTCTGTATACTGTCTGACTTCCTGGGCATGGTGCACATGTGCAGACGGCTTCTGATGGTAGTGGCATCCCCAGGAACCACTGAAAATGCTTATGGTAGCAGTCCCCAGGAACATGTCAGTTCTATGCACACGGCAAGCAGGAACAAGACAGCTCAATGATATCGTAGTAATGCTGACAATCCCAGAAGTGACCTCACTACAATGCACTCTGTTATAACTCAGAGTCTCCTTTTGAAGAGCTCAAACTCCATATTAGAATGCCATTGGAGTTCCGTTGTTTTGTAAATTTCATAACTTATACACCATTTTAACCTCCAATCCTTTCAAAATAAATTCCTCTAAATCCATTCATGTTTGATTTTGCCCCCAAACTGTCTTATTTTTCCAGGGGAATGTTCCTTCACAGTCACTGATGAATTGATTCCACTGGGTTGCAAACAAAAGTCTGTTCGACTCAAAAGGAAGATACTGTATTGAAATTCTACACATATTTGTATACTTGCATTGGACGCTGGCCACTGTGCAATTATTCTCTTATTGTGAATACGCAGAACAAAAACCATTTTAAGATGATCTCAGAATTACCTTAACAAAACACCAATGTATAATGCAAACATTTTGTAAAAAAGGCCCTTTTTTCATCTAAACTTTATTTTAAATTTTTAATATTTTGTCTAGTGCCTCCATGCCCTAATATAATAAGCATAGACTAATCGATAAAGATGGGCAATGATTGAGGGCTGATAAGAAAATATAGGCTTAACAAATAGCATTAGCAGCAATTGGTGTCAAATGAGACCAATATTGAGATTTTTCCTAAGGTTCCTAATTGACAGCTTTCTGACTGGTATAAAATCTATACCTTTACTCGAAGCCAGAGGGACATTCAGGACTGGAGTCCTGTAGCTCAGTGGTTAGAGCACTCGCTTTGCAAGTGAGAGACCTGAGTTCAATTCCAGGCAGGGCGAAACCTTGGGCAAGTTTCCTTACTCCACACGCCTAATAATAATCCCTCCAAAACAAAGCAATAATAAATTGGTCATTTTCAATCTACGACTGTTTGTGGGACATTGCTGTGCGCAATTGGCTGCCGCGTTCGCCCACAAATATACAGTCAATTCACTTTACAGTCTATTCTGTGAAGCGCTTTGGGACGTCCTCCCGACGTGAAAAGCGCTATATCAAATGCAAGGATTATTATTATTATTATTATTATTACTACATTGGATATTAATTCTTAGTTATTTTTTGGTAGAACTCATTGTAATAAAAAGTGAAGTTACAAAGGATGGACTTTATATTTTAGTGCAGCACTGAGGTAATATAACAATTCTGCCACAATGCGTGTGATTGATAATCATTGTAATTTTGAACTTCGGAAGCTGTATAATGAAGTAATAGTACAGGGAAAAATTACATCCTTTTCAGTTCAATAATTCTACATTGTGCATCTACACACGCCAGGAATGTANTTTTTTTAACTGTCAGTGGGGGGTATGCTGTAGTGCTTAATGTTTTGCTAATGACTTTGTGGAAATGAATGATATTTATATAATCCCAATGCTCTGAACCAAATACAGCAAAACATTGTTGTAAAATGAGCAAATGGGGGTATGGGTGAGGGTTGAGGGGAGACTTAAAATTCTCTGTTGTAATTGTACCAAGACTTTGCTTAACTGTGGAAAGTTTAAGCTAATAAAAGCTCTGTCAGAAGAGAACAAAATAATTTAACAGATTCGCATTTGGACCTTTCCCAATGGAGTTAAAAAATATATTATGTTTAACATGAATGCTCATAATTAATTACATGACCTCAGACATTTGTACCATTTATGTATAAATGCACTTCAATTTCTTGCATTATGTAAAGTAATTAGCTGGAAACGTCTATGTAGATTTATAGATAACCTGACGTTCATATTGTGTTAATTCTGCTGACTGGTCTTATACAGATTCCCCTTGATGTTAGGGTTAACTCTTTCCTCATGTGAGATACCCAATAAAAAATATTCAGTTTGTTAATGTGAGAGAGGCAGGATTATCTATATCCACACAATTTTTTAATGAATTATTTTTACAACAACCCAAAGTAATGTGAGTGTTTATGTTTAATTGGACATGCACTAGTGAGGTTGTGATATTATTTTGTATATCAAATTGAATGCGGTGTGTATTGGAATGGCGACATCATCGGATGTAGCGCTGTGGGAATGGCAAAGAGTAAAAGAGAGAGAAATGAAGCAAAAATTCAAGTAGGGAAGGAATACGAATGGATTTAGAGGCAAGGAACGAGAAAGAGAGAAAAAGCAGATAAAAATAATTATCAGTAAAGAGAAAGAAACCATAGGAATAAAGTAATTCTAGGATCAGGTCAAAGTGAAGGGTAAGAAAAAGAACAGAGGAAGCCACAAGCCTAGAAGACTGTAACTGTTCATCTTTTGTGTTCATATTTTATCTTTTGCCTTTCTGCGTCTCCTTCTCAATCTGTTCCATTTCATGGCTGCCGCGTTCGCCTATAAAAGAAACACAATCATTACACATTACAATATAACCCATGAAGCGTTTTGGGATGTCATCCTGACGTGAAAGGCACAATACCAATGTAAAGATTATTGTTATATGTTTGCTTCTGACACAAATTCTTCACACAGGCACCTCAGACACTCTCCCCCTTCCCCCTCCCCCCACCCCAACACAGGCAGGGCAGCTTCCCACAAAGGCAATATAGATCTCTGCACCACCACCGTAGATTCTCCCCCCCACCCCACACACCCATACACTGTCAGCACAGGTGATCACATTGGCACCTCCACAGGCATGACTCCTCCTTCATCCGATTGCTATGACCACAAATCCATTTCCCCTCATGCTGCCAGCTAGTCTCCTATCATCATCCCTTGTGCATCACCCTNAAAAAAACTGTTCTGTCTCCAACAATGCTATCTCCATCCCTCACCTTGTCTTGGACAACCACATCAACTTCTTTGATCTCATCAAAATCTCACTGCCCAGAATAAGAAACTCTGCCTAGTCAAATATTTCTCTTCCTCCCCACTCTCCCACAATGAGTCTCTTTATTAAAGAACCTTTTGTTTTGGTCAGCCAGGTGCCCGACACATGCAATACAATACAATTTACATTTATATAGCAAGTTTAATATCGGGCGGATGTCCCAAAGCTCATTTTGCAGTACTGGATGAGCACCTGAACTGGGGATGGGAGTCAAAGGGGAGGAGGAGGGGAAACATGACTGAAAGTGCAATCAAAGAGGTAGATTTTCAGATGCAATAATAATAATAATCCTTGAATTTGATATACTGCCTTATCACGTGTTCGAGACGTCTCAATTGAGATATCTCAAAGCATTTCACAGAATATAATAATAATAATCCTTGCATTTGATATAACGTCTTCGAGACGTCTCAAAATTCTTCACAGAAGATACTGTAAAGTGAATTGACTGTATATTCTGGGGTCGAAACACGGCATCCAATTGCGCACAGCAGTGTCCCACAAACAGTCGTGGATTGAAGTGACCAATTTATTATTTTTTTTGAAGGAATTATTTCCCCCAGAAAAGTGATTCACCAATTGACTAACAACTGGGTTCCTACTTACTGCTGAGTAATAATAATAATAATAATAATCCTTGCATTTGATATAGAGCTTTTCACATCTTCTAGACGTCTCAAAGCGCTTCACAGAATGTACTGTAAAGTGAATTAACTGTATATTTCGCCCACAAGTATACAGTCAATTCACTTTACAGCATATTCTGTGAAGCGCTTTGAGACGTCTAGAAGACGTGAAAAGCGCTATATCAAATGCAAGGATTATTATCATTATTATTTGTGGACGAAACAAATAAACAAGTGAACAGAGCCATGTAGAGTAAGGAAACTTGCCCAAGTTTCGTCCTGCCGGGAATCAAACCCAGGTCTCTCACCTGCAAGGCGAGTGCTCTAAACGCTGAGCTACAGGACTCCACTGTACAATACTGTAAAGTGGATTGATTGTGTTTTTGTGGGCAAAACTCGGGGGCCAATTGCACACAGCAGTGTCCCACAAGCAGTCGTGGATTGGATGACCAAATTATTCTTATTTAAATGAAACACGGTTCTTGATGGATAGTTGTACATACTGCACAATTATCCTGTGATAAGAAATTTAGGTTATAATGTAGTGCCTTGAAAGAAGGGAGGGAGGGAGTAGAAACCCATCACTATGCTTAATAGTATCCAAATCAGACAGAGTTCCACGTATGTCTGCCATCTACATATGGAAATTTCCTTGTGTCAAGAGTGGCACCAGACTTCCAAAACCACTACAGAGGCTTGACTGTTGAAAGTATGTTACCTTAGAACCAGTTCGGCCACAAGAAAACCCCAGTTATGATCCCACCTCCTCCTCAAGGAGAATAACTCCTTGTTATGTTTAAAAAATGCATAGTCACTTAAATTTCAGAGTCCTGTGCATGACTTTGAGACGTTTTGACAACATAATAAAGCGATATATCATATGCAAGGATTATTATTATTTATTTATAAGTTGGTCATTTGACAACCAACATTAAACACTGACATGAAAGAATCATGTTACTAATTACTGCATATCAGACCAA